GGGGTGGCACCCTTCAGTCCACTGCACACAGTCACACAGATGGTGCTCTGCTGGAACAGGTGAGTAAGGGCTGAAATCTAGCCAGTTCTCTGCTTGCCAAGCCGCACGTCCTGGGCCCTGGAACGGGGCTGTGTCCACCAGGAGGACAGAATGCCTTTTTCCAGTTTTGCACAGAGATGCTGTTTGCCAAATTGTGTACCTACAGGAATGTGGCCATGTCGGGGGCTGCTGTATTTCTAATCCACATGGAATGCCCTGTGGACTAGAGGCCTTGCCTTCACAGCCTGGGCAGAGCACCTTGTGCTGGCAGCTGAGGCCTCAGGCAGCTGACTGCTTAGTCTCTGACTCAGCCTCAGTTCTGAATGCCCCTTTAGGGGTGGGCACATCTTGCTTGGGTGGGAATGGCAATCTTGGGTAGATTTCCAGTCAGGGGTCTTCTGTGCCCTAAAGGCAGAGAAGGCCCAGCTTGCTGGGTCAGCAGCCCCCAGAGGCAGGGGAGCCGGGGAGGTGGGTGCTCAGGAATGGCTGGTGATCTCCTTGGCCAGAATGGAGTTCTCTTTAGTAAGTGGGACTGACATGCACTGAAATTCAATTTAGGAGCAGAGGGTGGGTGGCATCTATGACAAGTGCCCCTGTGAATATTTCCCAAATGCTGCAACTGCTTGAAGTAGGGAGGGGAGGGAGGCTGCCTAGGGTCCTTCTCAGACCCCCAAAGGCACCCCATCCCAATGTGCACCCCTGTTGCCGAGCTGGACCCAGGGTCCCAGGCACCATGATTCCTTGTGAGTCTGCACCCCCAAATGTCCAAGGGGAGGGGCGGCCTGGGGAGCCCCTAGTTGGCCTTTTGCAGTGAGGAGTCTCAGAGGGTTCCTCCCCTCCTCCAGGCACCACTAACTCCTCACTGGGGCAAGCTTGGCTGACCCTTCCTGGACCAGTGTATGACTCGAGGAAAACCTGGTACCCTGCTTTGTGTGTGACTTGACCGCCACAGAGCCCAGGCTGGCTTGAATGAATATTGGGGAAAGAAGGCAGTGTGGGACCTCAGTAATGTGTTATCCCGTGGAGAGGATGAGGGGTGTGGGAGGAAGTGGTGTGGGAGTGGAGGCTGATGTTCAGGACCATGAGAAGGGGGCACCAGGGGCAGTTCTGGCAGTGTGGGGATGGGCAGTGTGGGTGAGGGCAGGACACCCTTAGGAGAGGCTGTCTAAGCCTTGAGCTCATGGGAAAGCCCCCAGTGGAGCTGAGGGTGCAGGGATAGGGCAGAGACCCAGGTATGGAGGCCAGGAAGTGGCTGGGGTTGAAGGGCAGGGACAAGAGGTCAATATGACCAGGCCTGAGAGGTGGAGAAAGGGTAGCAGGGGTGCTGTTGGGGATCCCTGGGAGCCTATGTGTCCCAAGAGCCTAAAGAACCAGGGAGTTGGGGCAAATGGTTGTGGAGGTGCTCAGGCTGGGCAAGTTTTATCTGTGGTCCAAGGCCTAAAGCCCCCATACACCATCATCTAGTAAAGGTTAAGCAAGAGGGTAGAGAGCCAAAGTCTGTGCCCTGATTGGCCTGACCAGCCTCTCTTGGGCATGATGTGTCCCGAGGAAGGGCCTCCTGGTCCTGCGCCCTGGGCCTGGCATCCCGCAGGAGCCCTAGCTGTAGTCCGCCCGGGACAAGCCTTGATCCAGGAGTAACTGGTGGCCCAGTCTAAGATCGAAAGTAGAGATGGCTGTGGGTGAGAGCTGGGCCCACAGAGCAAGGCTCCTGCCAGGCTGAACTCTCAGCAGTGCCTTCTGCCTGGGGGGGCAGGGAGGAAGGGTATCCAGAAGTCAGGTGCTCTGGCCCGTGAGAGGGGCTCCCAGCCCTTTCCCCCAGATACTTAGCCTGGCCTGGGCCAGAGGAAATGCTTGGTGAATATTCCTTCCCTTCCCCTGGTCAAAACACAATGAGCCCCTGCTCTGTGCCAGGCCCAGTCCTGGGTGCTAGGGAGACAGACAGATGGGCCCCTAGCAGTGAGTCCAAACCTGTACCTCCAGGACAGAATAGGGACATGGTGTCAGAGGCACCCAAAGCAGGGAGGAGCCTCTGGAAGTCTGCCTGGCAGAGGAGGTGTTTGGTTGGATTCAAACGATGAGTGTGATATCAACAGGGTGAAGGCATTCTGAACAGAAGGCAAAGGTCAGGAAGAGGGCAGGTGGTAGAGGCCAGCAGTGAGGACCCCAGATGTGTTCATGATCCAAGCAGGAAGGGAGCCCTGCCATGACTGGGCCCAGATGCCACCTCTCGAAGGGCTGCCAGCCTTCTCCCAAGACCTGACAGTGGAGTATGCCACTTACCCAGGGACCAGGTTGCTGGGCCATCCTTGGTGGGTATAGGGCTCAGGTGGGGATGGTAGGACAGAGTATGTTTATCCGTGGTCTGGAGGTCCATGGAAGCTGGGCCTTGGCCTCACCCTGAGCCTGGAGCCCAATACCTCAATTTTATATATGAGGAAACTGAGACCCAGAAGGTGAAAGAAACTTGCCCACAGTCACACAGGAATTAATGACAGAACTGGTCTTGGCCTCCCAGGTTAAAATCAAACCAAGAGTCAAGCAGCCTGGCAGATTCCTGCAGTGGAGAGAAGTCAGGCCTTCTGGGGCTCCTTGTGAGACTCCGCCCTTCCCTGGCCTCCAAGAGCCACAGAAGGGGAGAGCCACAGAAGGGACAGGAGAGTCAGTTCATTCATGTAACCTAACACTGACACCTGGTAGACCCTGGAAGTCCTGCCCACCCCAGGCCTCAGCATCCTCTTCCATAAAAAGCCGGGGTGGGACTGTGCCAGCTCCACAAAACATGCTTCTCTGCTCTTGGCTCGGTTTTCCAGTGTGGCTGAGCCCCTGGGGGGCCAGGTGTCCTGGGGCTTCACAGCCTGAGGTGCAGGTGATCCCCTACCCAAGAGGAGACTGGAGGCTAGTGGGAAGAGCAGCCTCAGGAGTTTGGCAAGGCTGTGAGTTCAATAGCAAGGTCTTGGCTGTAGCTGGCTGGTGCGGTTGAGGACAGCTCTGCCAAATTGCTGGAGCTTGTGATCTGAAGGATCAACAGAGGTGTTTGAACAGCAGTGCAGAGATTGGAGCGCTCTGGATAGGGGGAGGAGGAGAAGAGTTGCCAAGGTGTGGTGATGGCACATGGCTGGCCTGGCTGCACTGGGGCAGAAGGGTCCTGGCAGTGGAGCCCTGTGATGCTTCCCATGGAGGGAGTCGGGGTCTTGTAGCGTGATCTGTGAAGATCATGCTCTGCAGAAAGACCAGGGAGATGGGAGCAGGGCTTGGGCTGTGCTGGAGGGAGAGCTAGAGAGGAAACCTACAGCCCCCACCAGGCCCAGAGCTGCTCCTCCAAGAGGAGAGAGTCCTTCCGCCAGCCACCTAGACCGGGGCTGCAGCTCCCTTCTACTCCAGATGGGCGAATTGCAGTACTTCCATTTGAGAGGGGGCCCATCAGGGGGCTGATGGGAGTTGTAGTTGTTGACCCAGGGGCTGATGAGAATTGTGATCCACACCCCTGTGAAGGCTAATGGGAGTTGTAGTTTTCACTCTTTGGGGCTGATGGGAATTGCAGTTTCTTCCCAGGAGACCCCAGTTATCAGACCTAGGGAGCAAGGAGACCTACCCCACTCCCATCCCAAAGGCTCGCCCCACTAGTTCTCCTGGGCCCTATATTAGCAAGTGCATCCTTCCCAGATGGCTGTGTATGTATTTTCTTTTCTTTTTTTTGCTTTCTTCTTCTTTCCGTTGTTTTATTATTGTTTTAACAATAATAAGAGGGCCAGAGGCAGTCAAGCCCTGGCCAGGTCCTGGCGGCCCATGGGGGTTCTGGGGAGGGGGAGGGGGGAAGTCAGTGGGGGTCAGAGGTGGAGGGTGAAGAAAGAGAAAGTTGGGGATTTAGGGTTAGCTGAAGAATCATGTGTCCCTTCCCATTTCTCTCACTCACTCCCTGCCCCTCCCCACTTTCCTGCCTCTACAAGGCTTCTCACCACCATTCCCAAAGTCCTACCAGACAGGACCCTCCTCCATTGTGTCTGTGTCTCCCTGCCAACTCTTCCTCGTGGACCTCATCACCTCCCACCTTCAGTTTCTCCTCTCCCCACAGCCAACCTGCAATTAGCTTTTAAAGCCCCTTCCCATGACCATCCTCTCCCAAGTCCTCTCACCCATGTAGCAGTCCTACACAGCTGCCTGTCACATGCCTCCTCCCCAGGCCCCCCCGCGCCCCCTCCCTCCCCTAGACACTGACACCAAGTGGTGGTAACCTTCTTCAATGCCAGCCTTCACTGCAGATTTCAGCTTCATGTTTAATGAGGGGGAGAGGGCACAAGTGAGGGAGGAGAGAGAGTATTTTGGAGGAAGCAAGTTGTTCAGGGAGAGAAGAGTGAGGGAGGGAGATACCAAACAGATAGACAGAAAACGTTGTACGGAAAAGTTGTTTTTTCTTATTTTTTCCGGGAGAACCCGCTTACACAGCTCTGTTTGTAATTTTTTTCTTCATGCTAAAATCACACGGCCTATTTGTTGATGTAAGTTGCCTGAATTCCGTGGTATGCTATCTTCTTTTTTAAAAACCAAAGAAAAAAAGCAAAAGAAAAATCTAGAAAAAACCTTAAAAGATATTGTTGTTAGGTTTGTTTAAATGCTGCTCTTGTATCTGTTTTTAAAGCCTTAAACCAGTAGAGTTTTTTTTTCCATTTCTTTTCTATTTCCTTTCCTTTCTGTTCCTTTTGTTTTCTTAAGACAAACAAAAGACCAAAACCCAGAGAGCCACAGAGCCCGTGCGTGGGGTGCCCAGGGCATCCCAGCCGCTGCCCGCTTAAAGCGCAGTGCTCCGGCTGGCTGGCGGGCGGGCACAGCCCGCTCTAGTCTCCGCCAAAGCCAATTGGAACCGATTTGGGTTTGTGAGGCTGTTGTTTCTCTCTCTGTGCCGGCCGCCTGCGCCCCGAGCCCTCGCTGACGCCCTCTCTTTTCTCTTCTCTCTCTTGTTCTAGGAGGAGAGTTAATATTGCCCATTATCACGGAGGACTCCTTAGACCCCCCTCCCGTGGCCACCCGATCCCCCTTCGTGCCCCCACCCCCCACCTTCTACCCCTTCCTCACGGGCGTGGGTGCCACCCAAGACACCCTGCCCCCGCCCGCGGCCCGCCGCCCGCCCGCTGGGGGCCCGTGCCAGGCGGAGCAGGACGACAGCGACTGCGAGGAGCCTATCGAGGCCTCGGGCTTTGCCTCCGGGGAGGTCTTTGACTCCAGCCTCCCCCCCACGGACGACGAGGACTTTTACACCACCTTTCCCCTGGTCACGGACCGCACCACCCTCCTCTCCCCCCGCAAACCTGCTCCCCGGCCCAACCTCAGGACAGATGGGGCCACGGGCGCCCCTGGGGTGCTGCTCGCTCCCTCCGCCCCGGCCCCCAATCTGCCAGCGGGCAAAATGAACCACCGAGACCCGCTGCAGCCCCTGCTGGAGAACCCTCCCCTGGGACCGGGGGCCCCCACATCCTTTGAGCCGCGGAGGCCCCCTCCACTGCGCCCCGGCGTGACCTCCGCCCCTGGCTTCCCCCATCTGCCCACAGCCAACCCCACAGGGCCTGGAGAGCGGGGCCCGCCGGGTGCAGTGGAAGTGATCCGGGAGTCCAGCAGCACCACGGGCATGGTGGTGGGCATCGTGGCGGCCGCGGCGCTATGCATCCTCATCCTCCTTTATGCCATGTATAAGTACCGCAACCGCGACGAGGGCTCCTACCAGGTGGACCAGAGCCGGAACTACATCAGTAACTCGGCCCAGAGCAACGGGGCGGTGGTGAAAGAGAAGGCCCCGGCTGCCCCCAAGACGCCCAGCAAGGCCAAGAAGAACAAAGACAAGGAGTATTACGTCTGAGCCCCCGGCACCGCGCCCCACTGCCAGCTGCCCCTCCCGGGAGGGCCCAGGAGGAGGGTGCGGCCCTCTCTCTGCCGGGGCCCTGGGGACCTGCTCCCTGGCTGCCTCAGACTTCTCTCATGAAGAGGAAACGCAAAAAAGAAAAAAAAAGAAAGAAAAAAAAAGAAAAAGAAAAAAGGAAAGGAAAACCCCGTGCTCGTCCCCTTCCTCCTGCCGTCCGTCCGGCGCGGAGTCGCCGTCAGTCCTGGGGCTGTCTGTCCCTGTCAGCTCTGCGCCCGCTGGGCAGGGCACGTGCTCACAGCCCTGGGTTGATTTATTTTTTTAAGGGGGGTAGTTTTATTTTGGTGGGGTTGGGCGGGAAGGAAGGCTGGGGGTTTTTGTACAGTGTCCACTACCCGTCCTGTTCATTTTTTCCTCTATTTTTCTTCTTCCTCCCTCTGTCTCTCCTGCCTTCCTTCTCTTCCCAAGCCCTCAAGTCCCCACCCAGGCTTGCTGTCTTTCTGTCCCCACCCTCCTTCCTCACTTCTCCTTTTTGTGTGTGTCTGGTTTCTCCCTTCCTTTCCTCTCTTTC